TATGGCTCCCCTTGTAAGTTTGAATATGGTAAAATCTAAAAGCAAGATCATTCTTAACAACTCAGTGGATACTCAATAGGGGCAGCAGAATGGAGGTTTATTAAACTCTCCATGCCTTCCCAGTCCACATTCTCTCTCATGTTGGCCTTCCTTATTAGCAAGAGAACCAGATTCTCTAGAATAAGACTTTTCTACTTTCTCATTCCTTCCCCCAATCATAGTACACATCATAAATTCTTGCACATGTGCAGTTAGGATTCCTTCGTTAATAAATTCAAATGTAACAAATATTTTTCTCTTAAGATTTTTATGGCAGTGACTACCCCTATTGCATATGAATCATCTGAAACACAGGATAGATTAATGATTTATTACATGTCCTCCTTCAGCTGCAGAAACAGCTTTACAAGCCAACACTTGCTACTTACTAACTAGTGACTTACTGAACCAACAGTCTTTGGGTAGGACATCTAAAGCTACATGAGAAAATTATGCAGAAGTACATGCTTATGTTGAAAAGGTCCCGGCTACATTCACTAATATTCTACCCATTAGAAGAAAGAGGACTGTCTCTCAAAATAATAAAAACTCACATAAAAGCTAAAACTTTAGGAAGAATAGGAGAAAGGAGAAAAGGGTAGGTGGACTGAGAAACAGAAGGGAAAGTTTATTTAAACTACAGAAAGCCTATTAAAATGGGACAAACTGTATTTCTATTCTTGCCACTAAATTTGTTTTATGATCCTTGGTTAATCTGTTTAATCACCTAGTGCTTCAGAAATACTCTCCTATCTGTTCAAATCTGCACTTTTTCCTTGTTTAAACCACAATTTTACGATAATCTCAAACTGCTCACATTAGAACTAATATCTCAGAAATGCTAAAATGGTTAGTTCTGAAATCACGCTGCTCCAAAAATAACATAATGCTCTATGTTATCTATGATTTATTCCCTTTCACTTTTATGTCACAGAAAAAGAAGCACTAATGTCAACTGTGTGCTAAAGTGAGTTTTTACCATATGTATAACCTAGGACCTAATTTTACCTTTTCAAAACTCTAGTTTTCCATACCTGTCAACTCCTAATTGATGTCTTTATACTGTGAGCTCACTGTGTATTCGGAACACCAACCCCTGAAAAAGCTTAAGCCAGAGTAGCACAATGGAAGAAACAAACAAACCCAAAACAAAAACAAAGCCAAAAGTCACACTCTGAATACTTAATTATAGACAAATATGCAAGAAATGGAGTTATCTAAATGGCTAAACAAAATCCCCAAGAAAGTCCTGAGTTCATCCCAACCGATTCAAGCCTTAGCCCCCAAAGCTCTTTTTTAATCAAGTTAAAAGCTAGTTATATTTATGCATTATTTTCTTAAAAAGAAACGTTATGACAAACCCATGGCTGTGCTTAAAAGTACAAAAGGAAGGAACTTTTTAATAAACAAAGTAAGTTAGCCTAGTGATGGAAAGAAAGGAGAAAGAGTCAAATTACCTGCAAGCAGGCTGGGGCTGTGCCTGAATCCAAACCGCTGCATTTACCATTCATTATACAGCTGCATTATTGGGGGAAGGGGAGTTTAGAAGGGCACTGACCCCGAAAGTTCTCAATACTTCTCACTCATCATCAGGAAGGGGGAAGAAGGAAAGTTTTTTCTCTGGGTAATTTTTTGTTTGTTTGTATTTGGTTTTTTGGCTCCTGAAAAGGCTGGTAAAGAACAGTAACAGTGCAAGCAGTTAGAATATTTCTTTAAAAACAATGTAAAAACTGCAAAACATTAAGGAATTTAAAAGGCCAAACTTTCGTTAATATAGAAAGAATTTTTGCTAGAGTTAGGCAGCCACCCCAAAAACAGCATGGCAAAAGGGCATTGGTATAAAGGAAATAAAATACCACACAAAAATCCAAAACAAAACTAAAAACATTTCAAATTAAACCTGGAAGACTAGAAGATTCCAACAGCAGATTTCTGTCCACTACTGAAACATTCCAAAATCCAAGCTTCAAAGGCGCCTAAATCTATTTTAAATGAAACTTTGTTTTGTTTTTTTTTTTTTAAGAAAAAAAAAGAAAGAAAGAAAGCAGTGAACCTGGTTATAAATCCTGCAATATATTACATTTTTAAAAATCCTAGTACAACAAAAACAAATCTTAAATGAAATTAAACAAACAAACAAATAAAAACAGTAGCAGCAGAGGTTACCTGTCTGAGCACCTACATTTTCTTAGGAGGGGATCGTGTCTCACCAGCCAAATAGCCCATAAACCTTCTCAAAAAAAGTGAGCCAGGAGAAAAATGTAACACAAGATTTGATTTCACAATGTCTCTAAGCCCCCTTCCCCCAACCCCACACTGGGGATTCAATGAATGAAGAGAATTTGTTTTTCCACTGCTTTCTTCTTGAGAAAAAGAAGAGATGATTTTGAAAGTCAATGCCTTCGGTATCTTCTCAAAGTCTGATAATGTGCTTGATGAAAGCAAGTCTCTTGTTGGATTTTTCTAATGTTCCAGGGTAGTTTTCTTATTGATAGCATATACAGAAAGATTTCAAAGTTCATTGGAGAAAAGTCAGCAGAAATGAGCAATCAATTAAAGGCACCAAAAAAAGAAAAAAAAAACTATTAAAAATTTTAAATAGCTGATACTTATATATGTTTAGATATATATGTATATATATATAGTCCCGTTTTCATCATGGGTGACAGGAAAACAATATCAGAAATAATTATTTTTAAAATACAATTTAGAATTACAATTTTAACAATATACAAAATTTTACAATAATTCAGATTTTGCCATGATAATGATTATACATGTTTGATAAATACATTTTTACCTCTCATAATAGCAATGAAGATTATACAAAAGTTATTAAACAATTATGAAAATAAATTTAACTTTCATTTAAATATCTGATGTTTCCTTTGGGTTCTTCCAGAATGGTATGTTCTTATTCTTTATCTTAACTGTTTTGGAAGTCAAGGTGATATCTCTGTTTTTAAAATCTAAGATGACCATTCCTGCCCTGTTCATTCTAACATGTGAGTGTGTACAATCCAAAAATAGGTTGGTAAAGCCATGTTTTAATATAGTGAATGCATAAAAGATAAATAGTGAGTAAAACTATAGGTGAACTAATTTCAGATATTTCTTAAAATATAGTTGGTTGATTTTAAGCTTTTAAAAAGACTACATTTTTCCTGGTCCCTTACTCCACCAACACAAGCTTGAGCTTTTTCATCATATAAAGAAGTTGTTCTATTTGTGTTTTAAAGTATGTTAATTTACATACACATGACATGTAACTGTTCAAAGTATGTATGTATTATATGTGGCAACCAGATGGTCTTTACACGAACATATGAATGCTGGTTTAATTAAGCAGTTCTTTCTTGCTCATTTATTTCTCTAATCCAAATAGTAAGCATCCTCCAAAGTATAGTCATTTAGCTAAAGAAGTACCAAGTATTTCTTTCTGTTAAAGATTCAGAGGTACTAATATATGTAATATGAGTCCCCCATTCCCCTTTGCAAGTCAAACTCTTTTAGACGTGATTAGAATATCCTAAGAAAAATTAGAAACTCCTCTTATATATCTTTTCTTCTGAGGTGAAATGAAACACTGCACAGATGAGAGGTACTATTCTATTCGTCAACAATCAACCTTTCACTCAATTTTAATATTATTTAATTCTATGGAAAAAACCAAATTTTATTACATTCCTTTTTAAAACGGGAAAAACTGTACAGGTAAGCATGATCAAACCTCTGTTAGAACTGGTTAATACTGATCTTTTATTATTGCCTCGAAGTCTCTCTAGTAGTGTCCAAGAAATTATGTTTAAGGTCCATGTGAATGAAAATAGCACTGGAGAGGCAAGAAAGAGCTGGGGTAAAAGCTTCAGAGGATTTGTAGGGAGATGAAACTTGCTGTTTAAAAAATTATGTTGAGCTTTGCAGCATCTCCATTTCTTAACATACCATCCAAACCCATCACTGGGATAGTTTTACCCATGTTTTAAAGGCTCATATTATATGCAGTTTTGGGGCTATTATAGATTCAGAAAGTAAAGGAATTTAAAGAATGGACAGTATTGAAGGCTTAGAGTAGGGCTACCAGAGACTCAATACTGCTAAGTAAGCCCCCAAACAAAAATATCCAGCCCACCCCCATCCCAAATCCTACGTGTAAAAAGAGAAAATGCATAGCCAAAGCATTAAAGAAAAGAATGTAGCCTTGAATAAACCATATGCTGAACAGTATAGGAACAAAAAAACCAAACAACATACATATGCACATAAAGGCCTAAGAACTTATTCACCTTATGTCTTTAGGTGAATACCTCTACTTCAGTGAAGTCTAATTATGAAAACAACTCATCTGCTTTTTAAACTCAAAAACTGTTTCCCATCATGCTCCTTTTCTAAAATCTATTCTTTTTGATTAGTTGATGTAAACAAAAAGCAAAACACATACACATGCATGCGTGCACACACATACATATATACTCCCTCATAAAATGTGAAAAATGCAAATATATAATGCTGGCATTAGAAATCACTCCAGCTTTGTACTTAAGAACTTACAGGCCCTGGATCTGACCTAGAAAAAAATATTTTTCCTTGTTCTTATTCTTTAAATGCCCAACCACCAAAAAAATAAAAATAAAAAATAAAAAAATTTAAAAAAAGGAAAAAATAAAAGGCTTCAAATGTATGTTTCAAGTCAGTGTCATGTTAACAAAAAAGGTAGCATTTTCTTCACTTTGGCCATTGTTAAAGATGCAGGCATAGAGCAGGGAATGTTAGACTAGCATATATTAAAAAGAAAAAAGGAACATTAACAGCATATCTTTCAAAAAAGACTAAAACACTAACAAATACAAGTCAATGCACATTTTAAACTAGTAAAATTTTATCTACATTGAGTAAATATTATTTTGTATACCAAACATTGCAATACTGTTCATTTCCCTTTCATCATGCAAGCATGCCAATTTTGTCATTAAAAAGCCTTTATTTATTGGATTATGTTCATTTGCCCTCCCACCAAAATTAAAAGATGACAAAACACAAAAAATAAGAAACCCCAATAAAAGAGCCCCTTGAGATTTCATAAACAACTTAGGAACTAAAGCTGGTAATTAATAGGGAAATGTCAGAATTTTTAGATTTGTAAATAAAAACGTGTGGAATTTAGGCAGATGTTTTCCTCACCCACTGCTAATCTTGCTACACACTGTGAAGTATGCTACTTGAATATTTGTGCCAAAACAATTTTTTTATACAAAAACAAAAGTGAAAGACCATGACAAAAATTTTGCTCCTCATGGCCTGACAGCATACAAACTTTTTAGTAATTTAAATGGGTAACTATGAGAGCCTAACATGTTCTATATCCCACCACTTCTGCCTCTCTATCTGTAGGATTTGTAAACAAAAAGTCAGTAACATCTTTACTAGCAAAGATCTCATCTATTATTCTCCTTCTCTCCAACTAATCCTACTAAATTTCTCTCATCTTCCTGAGCATCTTCCATGAACAGCATTGCAAGTTGGTTGTTTAAAAAAAAAAAAAAGGAAGGAAGAAAATAAAAATAAGGAAAGAAAGTTAAGTTTTACACGGGTTTTGTTGGTTAATAATTGGTGGACTCACTCCACCAGGAGTTTGATTTCATTGGCTAGTAGCTGGTTCATGTTGAATAGGCCCCCCGGAAGCTTGGTGAGCATCTCTCGCTCCGTGCTTTCAGGGTCACTGTCGACAGAGCTGGAACTTGCGCTCATGTTGTCGACAGCAGTGCTGGCTGGGGGACCCAGCTCTGGCTCACTAGTCTCACTGGCCGTGGACACCACGGAGAGCAGGGACATACGCCGGGTGAGCCGGCCAGAGGGCAGAAGGGAGGCGGCATAGTCCGCAATGATACCAGCTACGTCTAGATTACAAGCCTTATCAAAGGCGATGAAACCTACATTTGCATTGGCCTCGCAGACACAGAAGGAGCCGTCATCTTTCATCAATAGGTCAATGCCACACACATCCATCCCCAGGATATTAGACACCTGGATAGCTAGCTGTTTCCCTTGTTCACTCAATGAGCACATCATCCCCACACCACCTGGCAAAAGAGAAACAAGAAAAGTAAGTTACCAAAATGATAAACTTTTAGAGTAAAATTAAAGTTGGACTCTAACACTAACCCTTTCCTCTAAATCAGTACTGAAAACAAAAGTATTTTTTTTTTTTTTTTTTGGAGACAGAGCCTCAAGCTATCCCCCTGGGTAGAGTGCCATGGCATCACAGCTCACAGCAACCTCCAACTCCTGGGCTCAAGCGAGTCTCCTGCCTCAGCCTCCCAAGTAGCTGGGACTACAGGCACCTGCCACAACGCCCGGCCATTTTTTTTGGTTGCAGCCATCATTGTTGTTTGGCAGGCCCGGGCTGGGGATTCGAACCCGCCACCTTAGGTGTATATGGCTGGAGGCTTAGCCGCTTGAGCCACAGGCGCCGAGCCAATGAAAGTATTATAGTGTAATACTATAATTGGTACTTTGTAAGTCTAGATTTGGTACAACTGTAAAATTGTAATTAGACTTTGTTAAGTCTAATTGGTACAATTATAAAATTGGTACTTTGAAGTCTAGATTTCCTTCATTAGAGACCCTTTCCCCACTTAAGTCTCCCAGGAATTGCTGACTTTGTACTTTTTCAATACATTATTTTTTTCCAAGGAAGACATTATTTTACTGGAGCATATCTTACTTGCAAGAATATAGGCCAAGTGTAAAGAATTCCAGCATAAATTTAATTAGACCACTTTATGTACGATAAAAAGTGTTACTGATTTTTAATAATAGAGATGCATAACTGCATAATAAAGATGAATAACAGGCACAGAGGATAGAATGGAATCTGGGAACATGATGACCAAAACATAGCTCTCTTCCTCTATATCCCCTACTTTAATCCATCTGCCATTCCTGAGCCAAAGGCTTGTGGGTCTTAGGGTAGCTTGTTAGATAAAAGTGAAGTCTTGGGTTGTGCTGTCATCTGAGAGAAAGGAAACAGAACTAGAGCCTCTCACTTTAAGACCTCTAAACTTTGAGAGCTTTATGAACCTCTAAACTAAGCACTGAAAAGCAAAGAACTTTAAAAAAAAGGCTTGGCGCCTGTAGCTCAACAGCTAGGGCGCCAGCCACATGCACTGGAGCTGGTGGGTTCAAACCCAGCCCGGGCCTACCAAACAACGACAACTACAACCAAAAAAAAAAAAGGCTGGGCGTTGTGGTGGGTGTCTGTAGTCTCAGCTACTTGGGAGGCTGAAGCAAGAGAATAGCTTAAGCCCAAGAGTAGGAGGTTGCTATAAGCTGTGAGGCTGTGGCACTCTACCAGGCGACACAGTGAAACTCTGTATGGGGGAAAAAAAAAAAAACTTTAAAAAGAGTTTGGCTCAAAGAGCGAAGTGGTGCATCCACAGGAGTAAAGCAGATAGCATTATGTGTCTATGACTAATTTCTCTGACCCCCAAAGAGGCCAAAAAGAAGCTAGACAGGTAAGTTGAGTCTTCTCTACCACTGAGGCTGGCAAAATAGAGTCCAGGAAATAGAAAGGCTTCTTTTAGTAGCCTGGAGTAGGCCTTTTAGTAGCTCAGTAGACTGGAATACTGGCCCATGAATTAGCATCTGCAGAACTCAGGCCACATGGAATACTCCAAATAACGAGGGCTGAGTGAGCCCTCATACAGGAACAACAGAAAAATAGCAACTCATGCATGAATTGAAGGAAAGAAATAAGAGCACTTTAAGGATATTCATGATCTGGCTTGGCGCCTGTGGCTCAAGAGGCTAAGGCTCCAGCCACATACAACTAAGGGGGCAGGTTCAAATTCAGCCCAGGCCCGCCAAACAACAATGATGGCTGCAACCAAAAAATAGCCGGGCACTGTGGCAGGTCCCAGCTACTTGGGAGGCTGAGGCAGGAGACTCACTTGAGCCCATGTGTTGGGAGGTTGCTGTGAGCTGTGATGCCAAAGCATTCTACCCAGGGGGGACAGCTTGACGCTCTGCCTCCAAAAAAAAAAAAAAAGGATATTCATGTCTAGCATGGAAAGATTTTCTGAAGCTGAAACAAAACACGATTATCCAAGTAAAAAATTCAGAAGAACTGAAAAGTGTAGTCACTTGAGTTAACTTAGAAAATCAAGTGTAAAAAAACAGCTCAAAGAATAGATGAAAACATGAGATAAAAAATGTGGAGGTGAATGTGGGGCGGGGGGACCTCCCCAAGCAGAGAAACAAAGAGATAGTAATTTTAAAAATTTCCTAAAACTATAGAAAAAACTTAGCTGATTAAAAAACATCTAACTAAAATCCAGGCTAAATTCACAAGACACATACCTAAAAAAATCTCATAATTATTATTTTTTTTTTTGTAGAGACAGTCTTGGGCAGTACCCGTGGCTCAAAGGAGTAGGGCGTCAACCCTATATGCCAGAGGTAGCAGGTTTAAACCCAGCCCTGGCCAAAAAAAAAAAACTGTAGAGACAGTTTTTATGGCCCTTGGTAGAGTGCCGTGGCATCACACAGCTCACAGCAACCTCCAACTCCTGGGCTTAGGTGATTCTCTTGCCTCAGTCTCCCAAGTAGCTGGGACTACAGGCGCCAGCCACAACGCCCAGCTGTTTTTTTGTTTTAGTTTGGCCAGGGCCGGGTTTGAACCTGCCACCCTCGGTATATGGGGGTTGGCACCTTGCAGTGAGCCACAGGTGCCACCCCTCCAATAAAATTTTTTGAACTCTATGGGGGGGGAGGAATCCCAAAACGTAAAAATAAAAAGGTTGCCTACAAAGAAAAAAGTCAGACCTGTACATTCAATAATAAAACCTTCAAGGCAGCAAGGAGAATTGTATCTCCTCCAAGGTACTGTACTCCTCACAGGGAGAAAGATAAATATGCTGAAATATATGTGTGTTGGTTTTTATCCACAATTCCTGGCCTTTAACTCCTATAGTCCCTGTTATATAGTCTTTTGTTATAATGCCTGGGGCACTTCAGGCCTCTGAAAACAGAATCTCTAACTTTCCTCTCCCCTCCTTTCACCAACCCCAGGCAGGACTACAATCTTCACCTGCCATTCTGATTATGGTCAGTAAAACCCTCTCGATTCTGAAGGGGTCCTAACCCATACCCTGGAAGAAGGAATACTGCACAGACAGGCCAAGAAGACTCTGCAAAGACAGACCTTGTTGGGTTCATATCGTGCCCTTTATGTACAACCACATTTCTACACAGCTATCAATCATGCCAGTGAAGTCTCCATAAAAGGTCGCAAAGGACAGAGTTCAGAGAGCTTCTGCATTGACTATATACAAGTTCCTGGAGTATGGTACACCTGGGGAGAGCATGTAGCCTCTGTACTCCTCCCATACCTAGACTATGCATCTGTTATACTTTCGAATAAACTGGTAAATTTAAGTTGAGTTCCATGAGCTGCTCTAGTAAATTAACTGAACCTAAGGAAGGGACCATAGGAATCCCAAGTTGAAGTTGGTTTAGAAGTTCTAGAAACCTGGACTTATAACTGGTATTGTGGGGGCTTAGGAGGGCAATAGTGGCAGTCTTGGGGACTGAACCCTCAACTTGTGGGATCTGATGCTATCTCCAGATAGACAGTGTTAGAAATTAATTGAAAGATACTCAGTTGGTGTTCCACTGTAGGCTTGACTGCCTGCACAGTGTGTGGGGAGAAACTCCCCCACATTTGGCCATAAAAGTCTCCTGTGTTAATTGTTAAGTGAAAGTAGAAAGAGCACTTTTTATAGTCATAGAATACATGAGAGTATCTATCACTCACATACCCCACTGGGGGGGAAAAATCAGGAAAAGATACTAATGACTAAGAACAGAGATCTCAAGATGCAGGAGTAACAGTAGTAAGCACTTTGCATTATGGGATAAAGAATGCTTGGGAATAAAGTACTATATAAGGATTATTGAAAATCCTAATTCTAATATAGACCTGAACTAAAACTATTAGATGAATTCAGGAAAACTGGAATATCAACCCCAGAAGTAGCAATTTTTGTTTTATTCATCACTGTATACAGAATACTGCTGTAACAGTACATGACATTTAGGAGGTGCTCAAAACTATTTGTTCACTGAATGAATGAATCAAGGGTAAAGAGTAGGAAAGGAAGTAAAATTGCTATAATCTTTTTTTTTTTTTTTTTGAGACAGAGCCTCAAGCTGTCCCCCTGGGCAGAGTGCCGTGGCATTACAGCTCACAGCAACCTCCAACTCCTGGGCTCAAGCCAGTCTCCTGCCTCCGCCTCCCAAGTAGCTGGGACCACAGGCGCCCGCCACAACGCCCGGCTATTTTTTTTTTGGTTGCAGCCGTCGTTGTTTGGCGGGTCCGGGCTGGGGATTCAAACCCGCCACCTTAGGTGTACGTGGCTGGTGCCTTAGCCGGTTGAGCTATAGGTGCCGAGCCATAATCTTATTGGAGAAAAGAAACAAGGGACGATAGGGGAAAGTCAAAGTATGCCAAGACTTTATACTACAGTACAACCTCTGTAAAGTTCATCACCCAAAGGATCTGTAACAAACTGCTCGACATACAGAGGTAGTCTACATAAGGAACAAGGCTTACTATACTGATATATGTATGCGTAGTGCATGCCTGGTCTATGAAAATCAGGTCAACTTAAGGAGGTGAACAATGTAGGGAGGTAGGGGGGTGGTCAACTATGGCGGTTCTAATGTATTACGATAACATAGTGAAGTAGGAAAGAAAAAGTATCAGGGAAAATTGCTATCTTCTCAAATAATGATAGAGAAGATTATGTCTGATTATGAACACAGAGAAAGGGATGGTAACCTTTAGAGGAATGCAAAACCAAGGCTTATCTTCCAAATTAGTTGGATTTGGGGGCGGGAGTAAAAATACAAATAATAGTATCTTACGAACAAGTAAAAATTTAAAAAGAAAAAAGAAGCAACAATTTAATTTAAATGATAAACACAGACTGCAGAAATAAAGTGAAATGCATTAGAAATAACACTAAAAATACATTGAAATCTCCCATTAAAAGAAGGAACTTGTCAAATTGGAATAAAAATAAAACTTAGTTACATATTGCTTATGACAAACATAGTTTAAAGAAAATAATAAAGAAAATTTGAAAACTAAAGGGAGAAGGCAAAGAGATACTGGACAAAGGCAAAACAAACTACTTCATAGCTTTGTATCTCTTGACTAGAGTATATAACCATTTTTCTCTTTGTCAAACATTACAAAGAAAATCTTAACAAAATTTAGAAGAGACTTATAGGCCACATTTTAATTCAAGAAAATTATAAAGTAATGTTAAAAGAAACTAAAATAATATTAACTACTTCAAAATTGATTCCTTGAATTAAAAAGAAAATCACAAAGGAAAATGACAACTATGTGTAAAGAAAAGAGAAAAATACTTCTTGAAAGTTCCCTCAGAAGAAAATGTTTAACGTGAAATGTTTCTATTTTGAAATAAGTTAGAGGTTATTTGCAAAAGCAGCTACAAAGAGAGATTTAATAAAAAAAAAAAAAAAGTGAAATGAAGAGAATAGAAAAAATAGAATTTTTTTAAAAACCCAAAAGCTATTTTGATAAGACTAAGAGTGATAATAAAAACAGAATCACAAAGAAGAAATTAAAAGAAGCATATGAAAAATCTCATGAATCTCTGACAAAAAATGTGAAACTTAAAACAAATGGATGACTCTTGCATTAAATGATAAATTTCTGAAACTGACCGAAAAGGATGTGGTCAACTTTAGCAGGCCAATTATCACAGAAGGGATTGGGAAAGTGATAAAAGACCTACTGTGAAAGGAACCAGTACTAGAAGGGTTCACAGCTTAGTTTTATTTAATTATCCTTTATTACAATGTAACTCTGCCAATATAGATTGCCCTAAGAAAACATTGGAAGCTTATCAATACATTAAATAAAGCCAGCAGAAACTTAGTATCAAATGTGATCAAGGAGTTTTAAAAATATGTTATGGGGCTTGGCACCTATGGCTCAAGTAGCTAAGGCACCAGCCACATACACCTAAGGTGGTGGGTTCGAATCCAGCCCCAGCCTGCCAAACAACAATGACGGCTGCAACCAAAAAAGAAAATAAAGCCAGGCGTTGTGGCAGGGGCCTGTGGTCCCAGCTACTTGGGAGACTGAGGCAGGAGACTTGCTTGAGCCCAGGAGTTGGAGGTTGCTGTGAGCCGTGATGCCAGTGCACTCTACCCAGGGGGATAGCTTAAGGTTCTGTCTCAAAAATAAAATAAAATAAAAATATGTTATGGGCCACAGGGCACCTGTGGCTCAACCATGCCTTCTAATTCCTCCCAGTGCTTCAGGAGATCAAGGTAAGAGGATTGCTTGAGGACAGAAGTTCAAGCAAGACTAGCCTGGCCATGGTGAGACCTCACCTCCATTGGATAAAATCTGACAATCATCCCTACTAAAAATTCCAGCAGAACTGATCTCTTGAAATAAAATATTCTCAATAGCAAAACACTAAATCTACTGCCATGGAAATCAGAAACTAGGCAGATCACTGCAGCAATTATAACTTAACACTGTCAGCTTTTCAAACAGTGGCAAGAATAAATAAATAAATAAATAAATAAAAGAAAAAAGGAGGGAAAAGAATCACATTTAAATAACATTATAAAACTGTGAGGTGTAAAGCTACTTAAAATTTCTTCTTCTTTTTTTTTTGAGACACAGCCTCAAGCTGTCCCCCTGGGTAGAGTTATATAGCATCACAGCTCACAGCAACCTCCAACTCCTGGGCTCTAGCAAGTCTCCTGCCTCAGCCTCCCAAGTAGCTGGGACCACAGGCACCCACCATAACGCCCAGCTATTTTTGGTTGCAGCCATCATTATTGTTCGGTGGGCCCAGGCTAGATTCGAACCTGCCACCTTAGGTGTATGTGGCTGGTGCCTTAGCCACTTGAGCCACAGGCGCCGAGCCTACTTAAAATTTCTTAAGTCAACAAAAGTTGTCACAGAAAATATCAAAGTAGTAGTCATCCCTCATTATACACAGGGTTCCATGATCCTCCATGATTACAAAAATCCATGGACACTCAAGTTCTTTACATAAAATATTTTTTTTAATGCACTGTATTTGTATATAATCTATAATCGTCCCATATACTTGAAGTCATCTTAAGATTACTTATATTAATACAATATAAACACTACAAAAATTATTGCTATACGGTATTGTTTAGGAAATAATGACAAGGAAAAAAGTTTGTAGTGTTCAGTACTTATACAACTACCTGTTTTCCTTCCTATGGTTGTCTGAATAACATGACAGGGAGGGCAGACTGAATTTGCAAAAAATAGCTTGACAGCTGATTTCCTGGGATAACCACAGTTATCTAACATAGTTGAGTATCTGTCAGGTATGTGTGTATAATTTTACATAACTAAGATCATGTTAGTGGGTTTTTTTTTTTTTTAGATCATGTTGTTAATAAAAGAGACTGAAGCATCGAGCTTAACAGTTTAAAAAAGTTAAATTCATAACACTCATTTGAAAATCTAGATGATGTCTGCATAGCTGTCATATGTAACTTTCTAATTTTAGAGCCAAGATGTTCAAAAAATAGCAAAATAGAGTAGTTAAGCAGTCAGTACTAGAGCTTAATATTCTGGATTTGCATTCCAGTTACACCCTTTATGACAGGGGTCCTCAAACTTTTTAAACAGGGGGCCAGTTCACTGTCCCTCAGACAGTTGGAGGGCTGGACTGTGGGCCCCGGGATGAGTAGGCTGCTAAGCAGGACAGGCAGCGGCAGCAAAAACACCAGGCAGACTGGATAAATGTCCTAGGCGGACCACATGAGGCCTGCGGGCTGTAGTTTGAGGACAACTGCTTTATGACATCTATTATCTTGAGCAAACTACTTGACTGTTATGTGTCTTGGTTTCTTCATGTTTAAAAAAAATAAAGGAGTAGTAATTATCTATTCCACAGAAACTGTGTGGAACAAAGAGATAAATACACAGGAAGCATAGTACCATCACTAGACATGTTAACTGTTATTTTTCTTAATAACAAATATAGGAGAATACTCATTAAAAAAAAGCCTCCCTAGGAATAATGTAATGAGGGCATTCAATTTTGACAAACAAGACAGAAGAGTTCCTTGCTCTATCAGATATCTGGCATAATCCCAAAAGAATAAAGACAGAAATTCATATAGAAAAAGATATGAGTAAAGAAAAAGACAAAAGGACCCTGATACAGAGCAATGCCTGTATGGAAATTCAATACATTACAAATTAGTGATGAACAGACTACTCAATAATTAGTGCTGGGACAATCAGTTAATCATTTTGACTAAAGAAATAGGAGCTCTATCATCACATTGAACAACAAAACCAGTTTCAGGTAGGCAGTTTTTATGAGAAGTTAAGGGGGAAAAAAATTTGAAATTAAAAATTTGAAAGTAAGAAGCATATAAATGGTACTTAAAGCCATGAGCTGGACAAAATTACTATGACAGTGTAACAAAACAGAAAAGAAGAAAAATTCACAGACTAAGTGATGTATTTCATAGAGAGCTGAAAAAATATATGTTTAACTAAATCAAAGTCAACAACTTGTTTGAACCAATAGCTAAAATGGGTTACGATGCAGCTTAACAAACTCCAATTATACACAAAAGAAGTGTATAATCAAAAAGGGGCATCTCATACATGTGTAAATTAGGTTACAAATTGAGCTGAGGGGTGGCTCAGAGCCTATAACTCAGCAGCTAGGGCACCCGCCACATACACTGGAGCAGGAGGTTTTGAACCTGGCCCAGGTATGCTAAACGACAACTGCAACAACAACAAAAATAGCTGGGCCAAATAGCCCAAGAGTTGGAGGTTGCTGTGAGCTGTGACGCCACGGCACTCTACCCAAGGCGACATAGAGACTATGTCTCAAAAACAAACAAACAATAACAAAAACAAAAACAAATTGAGCCTGTGGCTCATGCCTGTAATCCTAGCACTCTGGGAGGCTGAGGCAGGTGGATTGCTTGAGCTAATGAGTATGAGATCAGTCTGAGCAAAAGCAAGACGCTGTCTCTACTAAAAATAGAAAAACTGAGACCAAAGGATCACTTTAGCCTAAGAGTTTGAGGTTGCTATGAACAATGATGCCATGGCACTCTACTCAGGGGAACAGCTTGAGACTTGTCTCAAAAAATAAAAAACAATAAATAAATGAAAAATAAACTCAAAACTACTTATTACATACACTGATGGTATCTCTATAAATCATAGTATATGTGAAAAAACTTTTTTTCCAACTTATTAAGTAAAAAAGACCTACAGTTATACATGTACGAATGCTCACTGGACAAGTTACACTACTACTTTGCATACCAGAAAGACATCTGAGTTCTTTTTACCTAGTGAGCAGTTGCTTTGCATCCTCCCATCTGTTGAACAACGTAACATGGTGCCAACCACACGACCTCCCACAACAATGACACGTACATCTCGTCCATGAGACTCTTTAACATACTTCTGGAATAGGTATGGAGCTTCATGTCGAATAAGATGGCTTAGATCAGCCAAATGGTGCTTATCTCGAGCTAAGAAAACAGCTTTGCCTGTGATTGGAAAAAAAATAAAATAAAAACTACAGATAAGTCATCAAGTGTAGGCAGCTGAGATCTATTGCCTGAATAGTCTCATGTCCCAGTTTGCTATTTCATAGCCATTTATATTTTTGTACTTTATTTCTTTTAAAGATTTCCTTGTTTTAACTGAAGTAATTTAGTTATGGTAATTAGTGAGACAATCAAAAGTGTATAAAGACAAGGTTAATAATTTCTTTATACCATCCCCCCAATCCCCAAACTTTTTTTTTATAGAGACAAAGAGTCTCACTTTATTGCCCTCAGTAGAGTGCCATGGCATCACACTGCCCACAGCAACCTCCAACTCCTTGGCTTAGGTGATTCTCTTGCCTCAGCCTCTCAAGTAGCTGAGACTACAAGTGCCCACCACAACGCCCAGCTATTTTTTGGTTGTAGTTTGGCCGGGGCTGGGTTCAAACCCGCCACCCTTGGTATATGGGGCCGGCGCCCTACCCACTGAGCCATGGGCGTGGCCCAATCCCCAAACTTTTAACAGTAAATTATATTTTGGTATATGTTGTAAAGATTTGTATTCCTCCAAAGGTTAGCCAATGTCAGCCTCATTTATTAGCCAAACTTTTTCTCTCTTAAACTTTTTCTCTCTTAATTAAAACATATTATAGGCTCAGCGCCTGCGGCTCAAGTGGCTAAGGTGCCAGCCACATACACCTAAGCTGGCGGGTTCGAATCCCCAGCCCGGGCCCTCCAAACAACAATGATGGCTGCAACCAAAAAATGGCCAGGCGCTGTGGCGGGCGCCCGCAGTCCCAGCTACTTGGGAGGCTGAGGCAAGAGACTCGCTTGAGCCCAGGAGTTGGAGGTTGCTGTGAGCGTGATGCCATGGCACTCTACCCAGGGGGATAGCTTGAGGCTCCATCTCAAAAAAAAAAAAAAAAATATTATATATATATGCTATATTAAAAGGATATACTGTATTAGTATATAGTAACATAACAACATGTTATTGTTCACAGTGATTTATTTCTGAATTCTTGACTGTTCCATTTGCCTATTTTTGTGACAATGGAAGTGGCTGTTTGTGTATTCCTCGTATGGAGCAAGTGGAGAGAAAGAGACAGAATTTGTCACGTTCTAGTTGAATCTAAGAGGGCTGTGATGGCTCCAACCAACAGAATATAACAAAAGAAATTCTGTATAATTTTGGTGAGTAAGTCATAAAAGGTCATGGTTTCTTTGTTCACTATAGCATTCACTGTAGGAGGCTGGAGACTCCTGACTACTATAATGGAAAAGCCAAATACAAAGAATCCAGTCAACAGTCCCAGCTGAACTCTGACCCAGCCATCCCTGTAAAGGCAATAACCCGTGTTTATGTATCACTTTATGCCTTAAAATTTCTTCTTTAATCCAAAGTCATGAAGATATTTTCATATACTATAAGAAAGTTTTATAGTTTTGCCTTATACTTTGAAGTCCTCAAATTCTATAAACTGAGAGGGGAATGGCTGGAGTTGGTGACTTAAGCTCCTTGTTCTATTGAGGAAGAAGACAGAAACATTAACGTGAGTTTAAGTTAGGTATGCATGTTAAAATCTATGGGATAACTACAAAACAGAAATAGCTTCTACCCAAGTTGAACAACACACATACATAGTAGCCTTCTGTAAATCTGAGGTACTATGAACCCTCTAATTATTCTTCAGAAGATCTGTTTCAAAACCACCCACATTAATTTGCAAGAGTAATTTCAAAATTATGTACTACAGCAACAACTCACACACCTCTATGACCCCGTGTATTCTTCACTACCATTGGGAATTCCAGTACTTCTGCTTCATCAATCATTTTAGCAAAATTTTCATGGCCACCTGGTTTGAGAATGAACAAAAAGGAATTTAAGAAAAACAGCAGAAGTGTTTTATGACTGATATTTTTTTACAACACAAGGGAGGTAGAAGAGCCTGATGTATGCCATTTGTTTTCTATAAAAGTTGAAAGGATCACTCAATTATTTAAAACCACACCTTTTAAAATGAATATTAGCTATCAAACTATACATATTCTGATTTCCAACTTAACAAAATAAAATCTTTCAGCTAAACTGAGCTCCCTAATTCTTTATCATTTTTCCTATTTTTCTCCACTCTACCAGACAAATAGTAAAAGCCCCAAGATTTACTTTGATATATCCAGTTCTCTGGTTAGATTAAGAAATTAAAGAGTGAACTAGTTGAGAAGACTTGCCCAAGATTAAAGAGATGCTTCAAACACACATATACCCCTATTACTAAACACACACCAATTTTTCTTATCTCTATTATTAATTGAAGTTCCTTCTTTCTACACTGAGGTAACTTAGCATCCATGCATTAAGCCTTGCTTCTTATTTTTATTGCCCAGGAACAGGTAACATAATAGTGAGATTAGGATAAAAACAGATGGTAACTGTAAAAATTAGCATGAGGATAGGGGAAAATTAAACCAGGAAAACGTTCATTAAACAACTGCAGTACAAATTAATTTTCAGCTTAGCAAAATTACAATGATTCAGTCAACAAATTTTAATCCATCATTAGAACAAAGGTAATATTTGCTAATTTAGTTAACGCTTTCTTCCTTTTCCATTCCCATAAAATCAAAATTGTTGCACCATGATACAAGATACAATATCCCAAAAGCCTTAAAAAGAACTATCAAGTTACTTATATTAAATAATGCTATTTCTTCTCGTGTAACTCCTAATAGCATCAAGTGCATGCATACATGCTACAAAGGCTTGGTAGATTCCTTTAAAATATCTATAGTCTTGAGTCAGGCATAGTGGCTCACACCTGTTATCCCAGTACTCCGACCAGCCTGAGCTAGAGTGAGACCCTGTCTCTAAAAATAGGCAGGTGTTGACCTGGTGCCTGTGGCTCAAGCAGCTAAGGCGCCAGACACAAACACCTGAGCTGGTGGGTTCGCATCCAGCCCAGGCCACCAAACAACAATGACAGCTGCAACCAAAAAATAGCTGGGTGTGTGGCAGGCACCTGTAGTCCTAGCTACTTGGGAGGCGGAGGCAGGAGAACTACCTGAGCCCAGGAGTTGGAGGTTGCTGTGAGCTGTGATGTCATAGCACTCTACCCAGGGTGACAGAGGATCTGTCTCAAAATAAATAAATAAATACATACATAAATATAGCTAGGTGTTGTGGTGGGCAGCTACTTGGGAGGCTGAGGCAAGAGAATCACTTGAGCCCAACAGTCTGAGGTTTCTGTAAGCTATGACGACACAGAACTCTAGCAGGGGGCAACAAAGTGAGACTCTGTCTCAAAAAAAAAAAAAATATATACACACACACACACTCTCTCTCTCTCTTATATATACTGAGTAGAATGCCTGGAGACTTAATGAAATTTTAAAAAGAAACCCCTGTCCTCTGACTGTGTGTGTGTGTATATATAGTTTTAGTACTACTCAAGTGTACATAGACCAAGTGTCATTTTCTTAAAAACATGAAAATGGTAATGAAAATAGTAATTTAAAGATGTCACCAAATTCTATGATCTTTCACCTCAGTAGTTGGCAAACTAGGGTCTGCCTGTGGCCAAATTGGCCTAGTGCCTATTTTCATAATAAAGTTTTTACTGGCACAGAGCCACTGTCATTTGTGTTCAAGCATCATCTACAGCAGCTTTCATACTACAACAGCAGAACTGAGGATCACTAGTGAGAATTTAAGGCCTAAAAAGCCTAAAATATTTATAATTTGGCCCTGTAGAGTAAAGGTTTGCTATCCCCATCCCACCCCATACTGTAGAACCAATCTTAAAACATAATTCTCCTGCCCAATTTGTTAAAACTGAAAGTCACAGAGAACTTCCTTCACACTCGTAACTTTACCCTATTACTTTAGTATGGCTTTTAAAACTACCGATACTGTAACGTTCAGCAACACATTCTCATTAGTGATCTCACCATAAGAGAAAGTATCTGGCAGAGGAACGCCATGGCCAGCCAGCTCTTGAAATGTCCAGAACTTATTAACACAGTTCAGGATAGCTTGAGGTCGGTTCATCAACCGGCACCCCATCTTCTCCAGATGGCGCAAAACGGTGATGTCACTATCACTTTGCACCCAAGGGGTTGGTACTCTCACCACCACCACTTGGGGGTAGGCAGTGATTAGTTCTCCATTGATTCGAAGACCTAAAACATATAGAAATAAAGTCAAAACCAACAAAAGGGAATATACAGTAAAACAGAGGAATAGTAATACATCAAAGCTTAGATCATAAAACTAAATCCATAATTTTGTTAATACAAAATTAACAAAATGGCTCATGCCTGTAATCCTACCACTTTAGGAGGCCAAGGTGAATGGATCCCTTGAGCTCAGGAGTTTGAGACCAGCTTGGGCAAGAGTGAGATCCCATCTCTACTTTAAAAAAAAAAAAAATCCAAAAAACTAGCCAAGTGTTATGGTGGGTGCCTATAGTCCCAGCTACTCAGGAGGCTGAGGCAAGAAAATCGCTTGAGACTGTAGGGAGAGAGAAAGAGAGAGAGAGAGAGAGAAAAAAGAGAAAGAAAGCTGATTCCCTTTGAGTTGTTTGTAGATTCTGTTTATCAGCCCTCTATCGAATACATAGCTTGCAAACAGAATTCTTTTAGAATTCATGCTTTAAGTTAACCATTTTGAGTTAATTTCGTGGATGATGGATGAGAAGTGCAGATCATGTTTCAGTCTTCTATATGTGGCTATCCAATTTTTCCAGCACAATTTATCAAATAGGAATGCTTCCCAAGTAGATGGTTTTGTCTGCTCTGTCAAATATCAGATGGCAATAGGAGGATGGTTTTATAACTGTATTCTCTGTTCTAATCCATTGGTCTATGCCTCTGCTCTTACACCAGCTAGTACCATGCTATCTTGGTTACCACAACCTTGTAGTATAGCTTTAAGACTGGTAAACTGAAGGCCCCAAATAAACAGGTATTTACACACATACACATATACATCAGCTCCCTCCCTTTAGGGGATACACTGTGACCCCCAATGATGCCTGAAACCACCAATAGTATTAAACCCTATAACCACTATGTTTTTTCCTATACCTATAAAGTTTAATTTATAAATTAGGCACAGGACAAAATTAACAGCAATATCTAATAGGACTCATCTACTGGGCACTCTTATCTTTTGATGTAGAGTTTATAAAACTGAAATAAAAGGACTGGCTCCTTCCCTCAGACCCATGTTATACAGTATACTAAAAATCACAAATGTGCAAACAAGTTTATCCCAAATTCCACTAAACACATTTTAAAAGTATGTACTCCAATTGAATGAACTATTACTTAGCTGTTTTCAACTCCACTTCCTCAAATGTATTTAGTTTTTTATAAACATCTTCAACTTATAAAACTTTTCAACTGTTTACTTATTACTGAAATTAAGATGTCAGTATAAATATTTTAGATATAAATTTTGGATTGAGAGTATAATCAAGCATTAATAGCCAATGAAGAGTTAACAGTAGGGCGGCACCAACAGTTCAGTGAGTAGGGCGCCAGCCCCATCTACCAATGGTGGTGGGTTCAAACCCGGCCCCAGCCAAACTGCAACAAAAAATAGCTGGGCATAGTGGTGGGTGCCTGTAGTCCCAGCTACTTGGGAGGCTGAGGCAAGAGAATCACCTAAGCCCAAGAGCTGGAGGTTGCTGTGAGCTGTGACACCACAGCACTCCACCGAGGGCAACAAAGTGAAACTATCTCAAAAAAAAAAAAAAGAAAGAAAGAAAGAAAAAAACTTCAAAAGGCAGGCAACAAAAGGAAATGACGGAACAAATCCAGAATGTGAAATACATGACAACTGTTCTAATCACTTCAAAACTATGATATTGCAGAAATAAAGATGAGAAGATTCTTTTAGATTTAAAAGACTAAGTGGACAGTACAGTCAAATGTAATGGATGACCCTTACCAGAGACAATTTGGAGAATTCTGACAAAAGATTACTGAACACTCAATCTCTAGGTAGCAAGAATAAGGCTGTTCATAATTCTATTCATCATTTTTATTAATTTAAAAATTTTAATAGAAAGTTGGGGCATGGGCTGGGCTCAGCCCAGCACTTTGGAGGCTGAGGCGGGTGGATTCCCTGTGCTCACAGGTTCAAGACCAGCCTGAGCCAGAGCAAGAACCTGTCTCTAAAAAACAGGCAGGTGCCTACTGTCCCAGCTACTTGGGAGGCTGAGGCAAGAGAATTGCCTGAGCCTAAGAGTTAGAGGTTGCTGTGAACTATGACGTCACAATACTCTACTGAGGGTGACAAAGTGAAACTCTTGTCTCAAAAAAACAATGATGGGGCAGGAGAGAGGAACCAAGACATCATACCAAACTCCTGAGAATTCTCCCAATGCAAACCAGTCATTCATTTTTCAAAATCTTCTGTTTTTGATGAAGCTTTTTTTAGAGCATCTCACCAATACCAAAGCCCATTTACTATTTCCCATTGCCCCATGTTTCTTGTCATTTACCTTTCAAGTGTCATTGCCGTGTAAAGTGCCTCTTGGGGGCAGGGCCTAAAATAACCTGCTAAAGGGATTCAAAACCAAATCTAGAACCAGAATTCTAACATGCTCTTTCTCCAGCTGTGACTTCTAGGAGACAGTACAAGAGATTCTTAACTTCTAAAATGCCTACTCACAGCTAAATTTCCAGAACAGAAATTTAGTTCTTTAGGTCAGTAGTCCAGAAAACAAATCAACTGCTTACCTGACGAAGTTACTGAATTTACTGCCCCGGAAAAATTTACCACATGTGAACTCGATCAAATTTTAAAAGAGTAGATAATTCTGAACATTTTAAGAATCTCACATCATTATAAATCTATTTTCCAATCAATCTGCTTTAGGACAGATTAATTGATTTCAGCAAGAGAATTTAGATCACACAGAACTAATGTCTACCATAAAATGCAAATCTGTCTTCACATACATCTAACATATTAGAGATATCCTCTTAGATATTCTCTTTTTAAGCCCTGGCTTATTTCCCTTACCTCACCCCCTAAATTCTAAATTAATCAAAAATGAGAGAAAAGCCATCACCTAAATGTGAAGAGAACAGGACAACCAATAAGAACAGTTCCAATCAGTAACCAAGGGTCAGATAGTATTCATATTCAATAGTTACATAAAATATTAAAGTCTGTTAATTCTGGCTAAGAACTCATATAACAACCTAACTGCCAAATATCAAAAACAAGTATTAGAATACGTATGTTGTTAAGAATAAGACTTTCATATCTGCTTATCTGCTTTCCTAACAAGAAATATGTGTTTCCAGGGTGGAGCCTATGGCTCAAAGGAGTAGGGCACCAGCTCCATATGCTGGAGGTGGAGGGTTCAAACCCAGCTCCAGCCAAAATCTGGGGGAGGGGGGGGATATTTGTTTCCTATCAGAATGCCCCTCTTTGTAGTATCCAACAATCCTTTCCCCCTCCAATTTCTTAATGTTTCCAGTCCTGCCACAATTACAGACAAAATTTTATCTTCCAAGGTATGCTCCTTGGTGAATAATGAGGAACCAATAAAGTTTCTTTCCCAGATCCCTCATCAGTGGCACAGAAAGAAAAAAAAAAAAAAAGACTACTGGCACATCACTATCACCAAGCATTACAGCTGACAGGTAAGAGAAACAGAGGAGGTAAATGTCAGAACTTGGAGTGGTGGCATGTCTGTAGTTCTAGCTACCACTGATCTGTGGTCCGTGGGTTCATTCACTACAAATAAGATACCTATCTACTGAGCTGCCTGGTATCATAGGCATTAAAATCAATTCCAGGTAGACTGTAAATTATGCTTATAGTAAAACAATAAAATCTCAGATAAAATGGTATTTCTTCAGAATCTCATAGTAGGGAGAGATTTTTTAAAAAAACAACCATAAATGCTGGGTGCAGTGGCTCACACCTGTAATCCTAGCACTTTGGAGGCCAAGGCGGGTGAACTGCCTGAGCACACAAGTTCAAGACCAGCCTGAGCCAGAGCGAAACCTCGTCTCTTAAAAAAAAAAAAAGCCAGGCGTTGTGACAGGCACCTGTAGTCCCAGCTACCTGGGAGGCTAAGGCAAAAGAATCACTTAAGTCCCAAGAGTTTGAGGTTGCTGTGAGTTGTGATGTCAAGGCACTCTACCAAAGGCAATAAAATGAGACTCTGTCTCAAAAAACAAAAACAAAAAAACAACCATAAACATTACATTAACATTAAATTCTTGGCTGGCACGATGGCTCACATCAATAATCTTAGCACCCAGGGAGGCTGAGGTGGGTGGATTGCTTGAGGTCAGGATTTGAGGCCAGCTTGAGCAATTTGAGACCTGCTAAAAAAAAGCATAGCTCATAGTGTTACCAGGATTTATTTCTTTAGTAGGTCCTTGGTCTTAGGGATTCAAATGGACCACAGATCAGTGGTACAATAGGATTTTACTAGACAAAAAGGAATACAGAAGGAGTAAAAAAGCATCAGAGCTTCTGACAAAGGGGTTAGACCCAAGCTGGAAATCTCTCTTGGATTCTTTAATTAGGGCCGTGGTTCTCAACCTTCCTAATGCTGCGACCCTTTAATACAGTTCCTCATGTTGTGGTGGCCCCCAACCATAAAATTATTTTCACTGCTACTTTATAACTGTAATTTTTGCTACTGCAATGAATCGTAATATAAATATCTGGTATTAGGCAACCCCTGTGAAAGGGTTATTCGGATCACACCCCACAGGTTGAGAACCGCTGGTCTAGGGGTATATACTGTCTGGAGAATTATATTTTGGCTAAGATTTAGTAGGTATAAAAATATCCTTTCAGAGTTGAATGCAGTCCCTCCCCTGGAGCAAGGTTTTATTAGGTCTTTGCAGTTTTTGTCTCAGTGAAGGGATTGAGGAGTGTGCTCCCTACTCAAGGTGGAACCACCCAAAAAAGAAAAAATGTTCCGGGTTGCTTCTTCGTTCATGATCTTGTTAAGAGCCCAGAGGGTATGGCCTGGAACGGGCAGCCTATTTGTGCTTGGAAATGGGGGTCTGATTTCTTGAGCTCACCTGGGCCTAGTAGTGAATGAGGAAATCCCTATCCAGTCCTGAGTGGGGGAATCCTATATCAAAAGCAATCTCAATTTTTTGGGCTCAAGCAATCCTCTTGCCTCAGACTCTCC